TAAAGCAGCACACGGCAGATAGAGTGCAAACCAGTGAAGTAAACAACAGTGCAGATATAATGATTTGTAGTGCACATGTAAGGTACTTGATTATAATATTATTAACTTTAGTGTGTTATTCAAATATCTAGAGTACTTATAATTTAAATGTACTAAATTGCAACATCATTACTGATGTGTAAATATATTTTAACACGACACACATTTCAATAGAAATTACATTTAATTTTAGTTTACTATAAATGCTTGTCAGTACATTCAGCAATACACTTTAACTATATTTCAAAGACAATATAATTAAATATGAAATTACATATAAAGATGTACTACATAAGTCAGTCAAAAAAGCACTTTTAAGTTCAACTTAATATATTTATTATAAATTTAAACTACAATGCATTTTTAGTAAGCAATTTACATGCTTACTTAAGTCCTACTTAAAGGGATAGTTCACCCCAAAATGAAAATTTTATGGTAATTTATTCACTCTCAGGCCATCCAAGATGCAGGTGATTTTTTGTTTCTCTTCAGTAGAACAGTAAAGAAGATTTTTAGCTGAAATCGTGGTCTTTGCTGGTTCATAAAATGCAAGTCAGCATCCATCTTTGAGAATTAAAAAAAAAGCATATCAAGGAACACAAAAATGAATACCCATGGCTCCTGGCGATATATATTAAGGTCTTATGAAGCGAAACGATCGGTCTGTGCAAGAAACTGAATATTATATTTATAACATTATTACCTGCAATCCACAGCCTCAGGCTAAATCTGATTCTTTTCCATGAACTGGTTCTTTCAGACAGTTTGTCAGTGAACTGGTTCACTTCACTAGTTCGTGAATTGACGTGGATGTTTTACACGTCTAAAGCACTGTATACTGTAAAGTGAATGAACTTGTCTTCACCTTTTTACATAAACAATGAGAAACCATAAAAACTTTCATTTGGCTTCTTCATTCAAGTGCGATTTATTGTTTGTGTCCCAAATCACCTTTTTAAACATATGCTAAACCATACTTCTTTTTCGAAAGTGATATCACCTCATGATAACCTCACATTTTGTTGATAATGTAGGGTAAGAGGATCTCATTTTATAAGAGAGCTCAGATCCTTGTGGCAGACTTCTGGGGCATCATGGAGGCACGAGGGGAGGGACACATCCCTAACCTGGACTACCTGACCATGTTCGCTGACTACAGGGTGCCACAAGGTCTCGTGTACCTTGGCGCTTTACGCTACTCTGATGCCCTCATGGAGACATTGAAAAACGGTTTGTTGCACCTTTTTGATAAAATATAGAAAAGAAAAGTTGGAAAATGTACTCAATAGTCATACAAATACTACCATTAAAATAGATTTCATGTTCGCTAAACAAAATATACTTTAATATTCGTATATAATAATATACTATGTCAAAATTGTAGATATCTTATTTCGATTGTTGGGTGGAACATGGACATTTCTTGACAGGTTTTGCTATATTAGCATCTACTATTGACAGCATCAGTTCATTTTTGTGTCGTGCTGTTTATACCTTTAAATAAAGTTATGAAAATGAGGTGATGTACATCTGTAATGTTTAAATGTATAATTATACATGTATAAAGCATGAGAAAACAGAGGTGAAACAGCCACATACTACAAAAGTTTTATAAACAGAAAGTTAGCATTGAGTAACATACATTTTAAATACAACTTTGTTAGTTACATTCCCCATTTTTTCTCTGCCAACTAAAATATTTCACAGGAGAATCATGTGTTGTGCATCTCTGAGCACAGTCATGATGCCTCCTTGAATGAATCTGGTTTGAAAGAATCAATTGCACCGAACACAGACAAGATGAGTATAAATACTTTGAAACCAGTCAAGGTTCAATTTTTTTAAACTGAGATCTGAAAGATGAATAAATAAGCTTTCCATTGATGTATGGTTTGTTAGGATAGATACAACTATTTGAAAATCTGGAAACAGTAGCCTATGTATGGTTGGCTATTGCTACAAATATACCCATGCTAATTATGACCGGTTTTGTGCTCCAGGGTCACAGGTACTGCAATGCCAAGTATATTACATTCATAGAATTAAATAATTATAAGTTGTAGGATACAAACGTCGTAAGTGACACACAAAGCGTTCTTCTGGTTGATGCAGTTGAACTGAGACTGAGCTTTCTGAGCCTGAGAGCGCCACCTGGAGTGAACCGGAGCAACGGACAACATCCCCCCAATCCAGTATCACCCTCGAAGCTTTGTGTCCGTTCAAGCCGCCATACTCTCGCCTTGTGTTTGCTGTTTCTGCTGCACGAAGCCGAGGATACCGACAGTCCTAAACAGGTGAAAGTTTGTTTAGTTCGGGTTAACGGCGCCTTATATGAGTGTGCTGACTAGCATAACACGTTCAGGAAAAACGACAGTGATAGCACGCGGTTGTTACTTGTGTTGAGCACTGGCGAGCTAAAAAAAGTCTAAGCTAGCGACATTTTGGGTATCAAATGATGCGATAATTAAAACTGCAGTATGTCTAGGCAGTTTGTGTTTTTTAAAAAGCCTAAAATATATAACGACAAATATATCGCAGTTGTTCTTCAGCTAGCGATACGTCCACCAATACAGCAACAATCGGTTATTACTACACCTTTTTATGTTGTGAAGTGCTTATAACTCTACAGCTAACAGATTTAGGATTTTTCAATGCAAATTAAAGCTGGTTTTATTTGTTTCTGTCAGTTCATTATACTACCAGATGTGTCTGTTATGTTTTCCTAGCACGGATTATTTAATGCTACGAATCAGTGTTTAAACCAGCACTACCCTGATAGCACGCGTACATTACAGAGACGTCTGTTTGACGTCTGCATTTACATCTGCAAGACGTATTTTTTAGTGTTTGCTCATCTGCAATACATCAATAGGACGTTTCCTTTTAGATGTAAAATAGACGTTTATTAGATGTCTTTAAGATGTTTATGATTTAGAATGTACCTAAACCTGACATCTGGCAGACGTCTGTCAGATGTTTGTACACAGCAGATGCTTTCCAGATCAAGCGATCTTTAACAGACGTCCTGCAGACGTACCTGTGCTCTCTGAGAATGACTGATTCAGTGATTGCATGTGTGATGTGTTTATTGATCGGGTGGTTGATTGCAGGTTCAGGATGGCATCAGCAGTGATCTCAGTGCCCACCACGGCGTCCCGCTTCGCACTGCTGCAGGTCGACTCGGATTCGGAGTCCGATTCGGATGCGGGGAAACCGAAGGCGGGTCGTGGAGCAGGGAAGCCCTGCTCGGGGAAATCTCCCAGCGGGAAGACCAACCAAAATAACGACAAAAAGAAAGAGAAGAGAAGACGAAAGAAGGAACAGCAGCAAAGTGAAGCCAATAAGGTGAAAATCTGTGTCTTGTTCTATCTATCTATCTATCTATCTATCTATCTGTCTGTCTAATCTGTCTCTCTATCTTATCGGTCTATCTACAGTGGGTACGGAAAGTATTCAGACCCCCTTAAATTTTTCACTCTTTGTTATATTGCAGCCATTTGCTAAAATCATGTAAGTTAATTTTTTTTCCTCATTAATGTACACACAGCACCCCATATTGACAGAAAAACACAGAATCGTTGACATTTTTGCAGATTTATTAAAAAAGAAAAACTGAAATATCACATGGTCCTAAGTATTCAGACCCTTTGCTGTGACACTCATATATTTAACTCAGGTGCTGTCCATTTCTTCTGATCATCCTTGAGATGGTTCTACACCTTCATTTGAGTCCAGCTGTGTTTGATTATACTGATTGGACTTGATTAGGAAAGCCACACACCTGTCTATATAAGACCTTACAGCTCACAGTGCATGTCAGAGCAAATGAGAATCATGAGGTCAAAGGAACGGCCTGAAGAGCTCAGAGACAGAATTCTATCTATCTATCTATCTATCTATCTATCTATCTATAATCTGACTATTTCTATCTATCTATCTTATCGGTCTATCTATCTATCTTATCTATCTATCTTATCTATCTATCTATCTATCATCTATCTATCATCTATGTTATCTATCTATCTATCTGTCTATCTATCTATCTTATCGGTCTTTCTATCTATCTTATCTATCTATCTTATCTATCTATCTTATCTATCTATCTTATCTATCTATCTTATCTATCTATCTTATCTATCTATCTTATCTATCTATCTTATCTATCTATCTATCTATCATCTAGCTATCTATCTATCTATCTATCTATTTTATCGGTCTATCTTATCTATCTATCTATCTATCTATCTTATCGGTCTATCTTATCTTATCTATCTATCTATCTATCTTATCTATCTATTTTATCGGTCTATCTATCTATCTCTATCTGTCTATCTATCTTATCTGTCTATCTATCTTATCGATCTATCTTATCTATCTATCTATCTATCTATTTTATCGGTCTATATTATCTATCTATCTATCTGTCTATCTATCTTATCTGTCTATCTTATCGGTCTATCTTATCTATCTATATCTATCTATCTATAATCTGACTATTTCTATCTATCTATCTATCTATCTTATCGGTCTATCTATCTATCTTATCTATCTATCTTATCTATCTATCTATCTATCATCTATCTATCATCTATGTTATCTATCTATCTATCTGTCTATCTATCTATCTTATCGGTCTATCTTATCGGTCTATCTATCTATCTATAT